TATATATATATATGTGTGTGTGTGTGTGTGTGTGTGTGTTTTTTTGAAGTAAACATGTAAATGTGCTGTTGAAATTTGAAATATTTACTTTAAATCTCAGAGATTATTTCAAGTAAATTTAGACCAAAGGGGTTCGGCTGACAAAAATATATATTTTATATTACATTTTGTAAAACCGGTCATAATAGGATCCTTTCAAAATCAACAAATTCAGACAGAAAAAAGTAACATCTGTATTCAATGGTTTCTTACTTATTTTGGCAGTCCTCCAAATAAGGATCTTGCGAGTCAACCCTCTTTAGCCCTTTTCTGACATTCTCCTCCAACCACAGCATCAATCCAGCCTCTTTCCACAGGCTGTGACAGCGGCCCACATATAGGGACACTAACTCTAAGAGTGCAGGAGGCTGCCTAAAAGGTGCAGCAGAAATAAATACAACTGCATCACATTCATACATGCTGCAATAGTTCTGTCAACAGAAATCTTTGGATCTGATTATTTTTAAACATATGAAGAGAGTGTAAGAGCTAGAACAAATTACCCGATTTGACTTGATGGCCCAAAGAATGCGTGAGAAGACACCACAGCATCAGGTTGAACGGTGCATAAATCCAAAAGGGGCATCAGTGCTGCAAAACATTTCAACACACAACATTAAAAAGCATACTGCATTCACATTGCAAGCCTTACAGTGCTTAACTCTGATTTATTGCTGAGATCCATTTTTTTTGGCTGTCTGAATGATTGTTCGAACTCCTATCACCACAGAATTGTGACAAAGGTTTATATAGAGTGATGTAAAAGTTGCATGAATTCCGCTTTGACTATTTAGACTGAGGTCTCATTTCAAAACATCAGACCTGTATCAGATTTAAGACCACATATGGAAGTGGACCAAAACAGAATCGTACAGATCAAATTGTATGTGGTTTGTGCTGTTCACACTGTTATGAAACCAACAGATCTGAGTCACATATGGATTTGGGCCACTTTTGCCTGCAGTCTGAACATAGGGTAAGATATGCAGCCTACAGCCTGAGAAACAGATGTAGATCATGTTCTAATCACTTATTGTCTTTTTAATAACTATTGAATAGCTTAAGGGTTCATATTCATGTTTAGTATGTGTGTGTTTGAATATTCTTGCTTGAAACATTTCTTCCAATCAATTCTTTGTCAAATGCATCATATTCTTGTTATAGAAATCATGTCCAAAATTATACTCTGCAAGAGCGGGAAAATTCGGACCATGTAACTGATGAGATGACATGTTGATTTATGTATTGGGAGGAGAAACATACAACACCCCGAGCAAAGACAATATCTAATTGGTCAAGTCACCATTTGGGATGTGTCCAAAAGCCCAGTTTAAATACTCAGGACACCATCAAATTATGCTTCAAGCCTTTAGTCATGCTTTTTAGCTTTTAGCCATTTGACGCTGCTTTTTAGTGCTCCTTGAGCGTGCTCTGGCTTACACGCCAGCTCTAAAACCATGAGGAGAAAACACAACTAGTCTCGTTACTTCTATTCTTCTACTTTAATTTGTTTTCTTTTCCATTGAGAGTTTTGTGTTCGGAGTTCAGTTTTGTCTCGGAGTTCACCTAGAGTCTGTGACCGCCTCAAAACTTCAACCAGCCCACAACTCCGCATCTTCAGCAAACGCCCCCAAGACGTCACTTCAATGACTACTGAACTTCCAGCCAATCAGCAACCCCCTTTTCTGCAAGGACGACAACAAAGGGAACCCCCCCCCCTTACACAGGCAACTCAAGTACCTCCAGATTCTAGCTGAACTGGTGCATTTAATATAAATTTTAACCTCATTTTAACCAAATTAAGTGATTGATGGTTGTTCAGGTATATGCAATTGCACATATTGCTGTAAACTTGAGATTTCACATTTTCATTCTCTTAAACTCATTCTTTCCTCACGTTCTCTCTTCCTGCAACTTGTGTGAATGCGTGTGTTTATGTGTTAGACTAGTTTATATGTCTTAGATTTATCTAATAAACTTTATATTGAAAAGAGAAGTATCTTGTGTTTTGTGCTTACAAGTTAATGTCTTAAACTGCCAATCTTGTTACTGTACTAATAAATAGTGTTTTCACTATACTTTGGGATATTAATATCCATTGCAGAATTTATGTTATATGGCTTGTTCAATGAATCGCTAGCCGACTCCGTGATCAGCTGTAAAACAGTGATTCTGTCCAAATTCCCTATAAAATCGTAAATGATTCCCTTTGAGCTAAATTGACCTGTTTCCCTTACAGGTGGTACTGAGTAGTCTCTAGACAAATTTTGGGGTCCTCCACTTTTGGGGTTAGTGCACTAGTCCCTCCAGTGCAAACAGCAGTTCAAAAACGGAATACCCTTTGAATAAAAGGTAAGAGCTAATTTCTCTTTCCCTCTGAAAACGGCTGCATAAACACATGACCATCCACATTTACACATCAAATGAAGCCTTGCCGAGTGATCAGAAATTTGGTTTGTCCAGTCAGGGAGAGGTAACATGGAGAAAGTAGGACAGACATTATTATTAAAGGGGTCCAGTTTTTCAGCTTTAGAAAGTGTGTAATGTTGCTCTTTGAGAATAAAAAATATCTGTAAGGTTACAAAGCTCAAAGTCCACTCTAAAAGGAGATATTCTCTTTAACAGATAATACTTTAAGAACTACAACGTACAGCTCATTCTCACTACAGCATGATTCTTCCAGATATTATAGAGTCACAAGGTCACTCACTTAAATAATTCCCACCTACGGAATACACAAAAAAAAAAAAAAAAAAAGAGGGGGAAACCCCTGGGTTGTCAGCGAGTGGAAGAAAGATAGAAAAACAT